CACACACACACATACACACACACACACCAAACGTGAAACCAAAAAGTCTCAATCGCTACAGTTTATTACTGGCAGCAATATTGGCCATAAATCCCGCCTCCTCCATGTTATTGGATGGGACTTCGACCAAACTACAAAGTCAAAGTGCACATCGAATACATTGTTGATAAGAAACACCTGCCAGTTGTTGCCTGTCCTTTGAAAAACTTTATTCAGCTTCGACATTTGACACACACACACACACACACACACACACACACACACACACACACACACACAGCTGCAGTCATAGCAGTAATATAAAAGTCCAACTGCGTGATCAAATTTACTTATATAGAAACCACATTAGCATATAACCATGCATATAATACATCAGGATGACGAACTCCCACCATGCAGTGCTGATGGGTGGTAATTATGCATCTCCAGGCTCGGATGAGGGCCCACGATTGGGTGAGCGAGGTGGAACAACCTGTCACTACGGAGACGGTTGGCAGGGAAATGCAGGACCAGCTGGGAGGAGAGGCCACATCTGTAGGGAATGAAAAGGAGGAGAAGGAGGAAAGTGGAGAGGAGCAGGGGGAGGAGACGAAGGGAGGGGAGCAAAAGGAGAAGGAGGAGAAAGACAACGACTCCAGATCTGTAGAGGTGAGGTCAAATCAACAGTGTGACTTTTTACTCAATTTTTCTATTTTGAAAACACTCCTGCTGTCACATAGGCATCGTGTCACATACTGTGTGTGTGTGTGTGTGTGTGTGTGTGTGTGTGTGTGTGTGTGTGTGTGTGTGTGTGTGTGTGTGTGTGTGTGTGTGTGTGTTCCTTCCTTCCTCACCCACTCTGCAGGCTGTCTACCTGTCATCAGTAGGCAGTCTGGCAGAAGTGACAGCTCGCAGTATCGAGCAGCTCCACAAGGTGGCAGAGCTCATCCTCCACGGTCAAGAGTTGGAGAAACCAGCCAGAGACCAGGCACACATCCTCACCAGGTGTGTGTGTGTGTGTGTGTGCTCAAACATACATGTGTGTGGGGCCGTATAGAGAAAGGACTTTTTCTTATATCTTTTTCATTGCAGGTTGACATGTGCCATGTGTAAGGAGGTGGAGTGTTTGGCCAAGAAGTTCTCTGATACGATGCTTCTTGTCGGGGTAGGTGACAGTGACTGTCAAAGGATAGGGTTGTTCTCTTTTTTCTTATTATAAACAAATCTTAGGAAATTGGAAAACCAACAAATTGTTAGTCAGCCTTTAGGATTACTCCAAGTACATATGACCATGACTCACAGGTCGTAGTGCCTGGCAGAGCAATGCTTTGGTGAGAGTTGTGTTTGGATTTTTCACACACTCTATGGCTCCGTATTTCTCCATGTTTGCTAAATCATGTCCCCTTTTGAGTTTTTAATAAATATATAACTATATCTCCCTCATAAAAACTCTAAAATAAGGACACCTCTTTAAAACACTCCAGAAATCTGTGAAATGAACTATCTTGTTAAAAATATGTTCCTGCCGCCAAATTGGTTTTCACTTTCCATACTACTTAATTCAATAAGTTGTGATGCAGCGACAGCAGACTATTTCATAGAATAAAGGAAAATGTTGAAATGTGGAAAGACATTCTCCTCCATCCTCAGCAAGATGCAGCTGAGGAAAATATCAACGTGGCTCATTAGTGTGTTTTGGAAAATAATGGAGGAATGTTTGTCTTGGTAAGTTTAGCTGTGTGTTAATTTATTTTGCACTGCTGTTTACTGCTTCTAATCTGCTTTTTTGTGTCAGGGCCAGAGGAAAGCAGAGGAGCTGAATCCACTGGTAGACAGTGTTCAGTTAGAGGTGAGACACTGATTTTGTTACTCAAATAATCCTGATGATAATCATTTTGGCTGGTTTCAAAAATGAGCATTTTTGATTCGTTCATCCAGTCAAATTTATTGTCTCATATGAGGAAAATTGTGTTCCCAGCATTAAAAAACACACACAAACCATCATAAATACAACATTAAAAAACAAATACACAACAGATGATAGGGAGCAGAAAACACAGTATAATACAATGAAGGATCAGTACACGAGGAGACAAAGTCCAGTGGGTAAGAAAACGTGCACTAGTGGCACAAAGTGAGTTTTGCACAAGATGTGTGAAGACAAATAAAAAAAAATCAATTATAAAATACTGTACAAAAACTATAAATGTTATAATAAATGCACTTTCATTTGAATATACCTTTATACTCTATTTAATACTATATAATATGTTTTTTTTATGATATACTATACGAGTTATGATATGTTTTGTTTCTCTATTTTTTATATTTATCACTCGTTCTACACAGTATGTTCATATGTTCTCATGCTAATTATATGTTTTGGCGACCTTAAAGAAGTTTTTCTGCTTTGGTGAATATGTTTCTATTGTATTCTACTCTTTATCCTCATGATCTGTCCAGTTCACAACAGGAACAGAATTTATTTATTATTGCAAATACATGTTTGACTGTTTTTCATTTTTAAAATATCGACCAGTTCTTAAAAATGTTAAATAATGCTTCTTCATGTGGTAATTCTGGGAAATGATGATGACAATGAAAATTAACTTTTATGGTGGGTTTCCTGTCTCCAGGGTTCCAACAGTACCAACTACATCCAGAATGCATTTCAGCTGCTGCTTCCCGTCCTGCAGATCTCCCACATCCAGAACCAACACTGCCGACCCACCACAGAACCAGCGGCACAGACAGAGCACTAACCCCAAACCCTACACACACACGTGCCACGCGACCACCCGCTTGTCTTAATATATCTGTTGTTGTACAGTGAGGTATAGAGATTAGATTATTCCAGATTAAGTGCTTATATCTATATTAAAGGCCGCAGCAACAGGCAGAAGATGTTGTTTATATGCAGAATATAATCTTGAAGATGAACTAATATGTGTAGGAATGTCCCACGTGTTTCCTCCACCTCGTATCTCTGAATGTTACTTTGCTTTGAGGAACTAAATGATGTTCGGAGCTGTGCCTCACTGTGTCGAATACTTAACCAAAAACTGATTGTGTTGAAGGGATTCTGCGTTAATGTATATGAAGCGTTCTTTGCACTCCTTATGGTCCATTGATATTGTAACAGAAACGGTTTTGAAGAACATCAGACAAATGTTTTTCTGAAACTTTTTCATCTGATTTGAGACAAATGATCAGTGTTAATGATGAAACGTCTCAGTTTTTGCTTGCTTTGTTGTTCTCTCATTGAATTATATGAAGCAACACCTTAAACTTCACTCTCATCCAGTGTGATATGAAATAAAACGCTTATCTTCATAATTAGAAAACATTCACTGAAGATAGCGAAGCTGAAATCATCTCTAATTTTGTTAAGTTGTGCTGCTACACTGAAAAGACTTCTGACATTTTGGGAAAAAGCAAATAAGTGTGTTTTCCATCTTGAAGAATTAGCATCAGCCAAAACATGTTTGTGTCTTTGAAGTTTCTCTGGCCCCTCTTGAATAAAAGCTTTTAATATTATATTGTTCAAATCTATAAATTCAAACACTAATTGATCCTCAGAGGGAAAAGCTTTTTTTCCTTCTCTTGACTTTGACCACCTGATAAGTTTAATTGTGAGGTGCTCACAGTGCATCTGTTTTTTAATATCCACTGTTAAATTGACTGTTAGCTCCCAGCCTGTATTAATTAGACCTCTCTACAATAAAATACCCTCTTCCCCTTTTTACATCTCTGAGATTTATTGATACAGGCAAGAGAAGCTGCTCAGATTAAGCAAAGAAAATATTAGTCCGGTTCTGTCATAATGTTTTGGCTCTGCGCTGCTTGTTCCTCAGAATATGAAAGCATTTGTAATGTGAGCAGGAAAATCTCTGGGAGCTGAGTCATTTCTTCAACTGTGCACAGTTTACTAATGTGTTCAGCCGGCCCTCTAATGAAACGCCCTAAGACTGTTTGAGGATGAGATGTAGAAAATAAAGTTTTAATCATCTTCGTATGATTCACATCTTTTTATTTTTAAACACAATGGTTTATTTTTCATTGAAGTCCGTTTCAGTGCTCCTCTCCTGCTGCTGCCCCTCTGTGATGGAGGAGATGGATGGATGACCACGATGATGCAGATTTGCTAAAGACAGACAGATGGAAAAGATAATGAAAACACTGGAGTTAGATATTGTTGAATATATAAAATGAACATTAAACTGCTGGTCACAATACATGAGTAATAAATATAGAATACATTTAGTTCTTGTAACTTAACTTTATATTTAAATATTACAAAATATGATATAAACTAATAACTTATTACATATTTGTATAGATTGAGTAGCCCAATAATAATTTAAGTTCTTAAAAGTAACCTCTCACACCGATTTATAAATAATTATAGTCCAACAATATAATGTAGCCAGCAGTACATTATATTGATATTAGCTCATCTTCATAATAAATATATGTCAAGCACTAGGGCCAATCAGGAAGAGGGTGGAGTCTATAAAAGGGGCAGGGCTCTCACCTGAGTTTACTTCCTGTTTGGAGGAGACGGAAGCTGAGGTGAGCACGTGTTTGGTGTTTTTTCTTTTAAGCTCCTTTTAAACATCTTATGCATGATTACATGACTTAAGCTGTAGAACCAAGAAGTGTTGCACTAACATGCTCATTATAGTAACTCAAATATTAGTTTGATTCTACATGACTGACCCCATGTTAGTTATTTTTCTAATCATGTTTGCTTCTGATGTGTATTGCTACTAATACTCATACTTTAGTAAAAAATGGAAGTACTTCCTCAACACTGGAAAGTTTTTTTTATTGTGTTTCTGAATGGACACAAAATCACACACTCCCATTTTGCCCCTTTAGCTTTTACGGTTGTTGCAGTCAGACGTTTACCAGTATAGCAGTTGTTGACATTTCCATCCAGCAGAGTTTCTATGTCTTCTGAAAAAATTTACATGAAAACTATTAACACACGCACTCACATATGTAATTTCATGTGCATGTTAAATGATTCATTTGTCTGAGTTTGAAATGTGTGACACTCCCTACCTTGAGACTGAGCTTCTTTTATGGGTGACAGTTCTGTCAATTAGAAAAAAAAGTATAAGCAAAGGACTGGAAAAACAGTTCTATCAAGTGATTTTCTTCTAAACTCTAATTACACATTTAAAAACTGACCTGACCAACGCCGTGAGCCACAGAAGTGAGGGACTGAACATATCAAAAACAGGTCGTCAGAATCTGTTTCCACTCAGTGTTTATGGATCATCATTGAGCAATTTAACTTGAAGTTTGTTACCTGTTGGAGTTAAGATTTCTGTGTGCTCCTCCCCATCTATCAAAAAAATATATTAGACATCATTATTATACATCATTTTAACAGGCGTACTTTCATCACCTGGCAAAAAAAATCGGTTCTTCATTTTGAGAGAAATTGTGATCTATTCATTCTGTTCTCAGATTCGGGCTCAGAGGTGCATTTCTCAGCCCGACAACTGTAAAACCTTGCTCATCTTCATAATTGTCTTTTGAGACCTTGTCTGCATGAAGACAAGTGGGCTCATAGTATCTCAGCTCTAACACAGTGATACATGACATGACTACTCAATGCAATCAGGGATAGGTTTTAGACTGCATACACTGGATGTACAAAGAACAAAAGAAAGGGAAAAAGGTGTGGTTTATTTCAAAGCCAGCAGACTCATAAACTGCAGTAGAAGATATTCAGATTCAAATGCACTTTCACTTTTGGATATCATTAGGTTTTATGTTGCAGGATTTTATTGGTTATAATTTGCATTTTTATTGTTTTCAAGTGTGTTAATGGATTGATCATGTTACTTTGAGTTTGCCTGAAATTGAATAAGAATACGTTTTGAGTAGAGCAATTGAGAGAGAGAAGTGAGAAAGTGTGGCTTTTATAAGATGTGTTCACACACTGTTTAAAAAAAGAGGAAATAAAGAAAATTGTGAAATTTAGAATTGTGCACACAGGTTTAAATTTACCGTCAAACTGCTGCCCAGTATAGTTGTAAACAGGATGCACTCTGGGCTTTTCTGACAAAGAGAATAAACATCTTCAGGTCAGCTTCCAAAGATCAAACCAACCCAAAGAGAGCATGTAGTGCGTGTATGTCTGTGTCTTACTGCGTGAGCGTGTCCTCAGGTAGAGCTCTCCAAGCACATACATAACTACAGTCAGGAGCAGCACACACAGAAGAGCGAAGCAGAGCACCCTGGCCGTATACCACTCTGCAGGACAGAGAGGGAGGAAAACAGATGGTTTTAGTTACTGCAACAGCTGTTTTCATCAGATATTTATGCAAACTATATTTTTCAAATGATTAAATAATTTAATGTCATAAAAAAAAAATCATCATTATCCAGAGATCAAGATCACCTAAGGATTCTTTACCAGAAATTCTGCCTTACTGAAACAGAAAGGGTTCATGCAACAATCCGTGTTTATTACACTCATTTTGTAAATAATCTTAACAATTGAGCCATTGTCAGTCATATATTATGTAATTATTAATATTTGTTTTTTTTATGCCCACAAACCCAAAGATATTCATTTGTAATCATATTACATGAAGTTCCTCACTTGATAATCCTACGCCAGGAGATATTTGGCTGTTTAGCCTAAAAAGTTGCTTTAACAATTCACCGATTGTGTAAATGTATTAATGAATGAATCAAGTAATTGTTTCAGGGCTGGTGTTCTTTACAAATGACAGATTCTGCTGAAAAGAACAAAACTGTGAGCAGGAAATAAAGTGTTCATATAGTAGCTGTAAACAGACAGAAGTAAAGCATAGGTTCTCACAAATTAGAGGAGGAAAGGAAATGGAGTGTATGGAAAAGTGTGTGGGATGGTTCAGAAAGTGAATGTGTTTCCAGCTTCCATGATGCACTCTGGAAAATATGAATTGTGGGTTTGAACGGTGCTGGAGACTCGACTAGAAAGGAAGTGAGGCCAAAATCAATACAGCCTTGGAAATGCTGTAGGTTAAGATTAACTGCAACTTTCGGAAAGTGTGACTGATCATCCAGAGACTAAACTGTGAGAAATTTGCTCTATTGAAAAAGAAAAAAGACTCCACTGTGATTGAGAGAGGAGACGTCTTTGAATGAGATTGAATCACTTTCCCCTAAATAAAAAACTGAGTGGTTGGTGTCCTCGTCTCTTATTGTCTCTCTAACCACATATGGAACAAAGAGGCCGATTCCTGACACCAACCTTTCCCTGTCCGTTTCCATGGCAGCCTTTTCTTAGCTGTTGCGGTGGAAACGGTTTGATTGGCGAGCCAAAGCAGACAGCGGCTTTGATTGGTCGACTCCGAAGTGGGCAGGACATCAGGGAGACAGCAGTAAAATGCCCTCTGTCCTTTATCACCCTTCCTCTCATCCCTCTCCTCCTCCTGCTCCTCAGGTGGGTGCAGGTCCAAGGAGCTGTTGTTGGGGCCGTACAAGGTGAGATTCAGGGTTTCTGCTTCGCCCAGCTGAAGCTCCACCGACACTTCCAGATATCCAGCAGCGGCTATAGACAGCAAAGTTAATTGTTTAGTGTTTACAGGGTAATGATAAAATACTTGAGTACCTGTGTGGTTTTATTTTAATCATTTTTTATACTTTATATATTTGTGGGAAACAAGGCAGAATCAATGGGTTTATTTCATTATTTAGATTAGATTCAGCTTTATTGTTATTGCACATAGTACAAGTACATTGAAATGCAGTTTTACATCTAGTGCAAATAGCTGCGGATGAGGTAAACTGGCGGACAGTTCTACAGTTAGAACCACAAAAGCAGCTTAAATGCTTAGCTGTGCAGTACCTGAGGATGAGATGTTGCTGTATAACTCGGCCATGTCCCTGTCAGCCTGACACATGAACCAGCCGTTCTCTGAAGCACTGCTGCCTCTCCTTGAGTCCGGTCCAGCATCTGTCATGTTGCTGGGCTTCTCCTCCGTGCAGGCCTTCTCCCACTTTTCCACCTCTGCACTCTGAGAAGGGTCACACAGTCCCTCCATCTTCCCATTCTCCCCCTCTTCACCTGATTCCCTCGCTCACAGCGTCGGTAGGGCAGACAGATGAAGTTAACTTTTGATACTGTAAACAAAAAGAGAATTCGGTGGAGTTTCTCAGAGGGAGCAGGCTTTAATACGAAGGAAGAAGTAAAAGAAATCCGAGCGGGAACTCGAAATTTGGGGTTGATGCATCAAGCTTACATTTTATCTGACAGAGCGTGACAGACTGGGAGAAAGCAGAGAAGGAGAGACAAAAAGAAAACGAGTGAAGGCAAACACGTGTACGAGCAAAACGGCTAAAGCATGTTGCTCTCAAAAGGAGAACAAGCTTTTCAAGGCTACACAATACAGGCACGTTTTCATAGCTCCTGTCAGTGTTGTAGGGAGCTATGTTTGGGTCTGATTTATATCCCTGAAAGAAAAAGACAGACAGAGGTTGAATCGGAGCGAGTCAACAAGAAGAGAAAGAACGACAAAGTGACTCAAAAAAAGAAACCTCAGTACTTTTAAGGGTGGTCTTTGAACAATAGGTTAAGAAAACTGTTCATCCTGTGTGATTTCACAAAAGGTCGAGAGCAGACAGGGAAACATTGACATTTATTACAAAAACACAGGTTCACACAGACAGTGGATGAACCTCCGTGTTAAACTGGCCACAACGACCCACCTCTGTATAGCGAGAAGAACTCTGGGAGGCAGATGATGAAGGCGAGGATCACGAGGATGAAGATTTTAGTCACTGTTGTCCTTGTCATGATTGCACCATAAGATCACACACCCCCACACGCACACATTTCCTCACAACACAGGCATGACCTCTGGCTCGTGGTATCTGGTTCCTTCTCTTTACCGAAAACATCTACTCACATTTGGTCAGTGTCCATCAGAGGAGCGTAAGGTGAAGCTTAAGAAGCTCTTAGAATATTGTTCATAATTCACATAGCGGCAACGACTCACGCTCACACGAGTCAAGGCAGGTCGGTACTTCACTTCCTATTACACTTCCTGTTGTTTTCTCAGAAAGGGTGAGAAATGGAGGGTTGCAGAAATAACAGAGTTTCTTTCAGCAAGTGGAAATGTGCTTGTGTCTGTTTGGGAGTTTGCATTCAGGAGATTGTGAGTGATTTGCCGATCCTCTCTTCAGAAGAGACTTTATTTAGACTATAACACAGGCGACCATGACTATTACTGTAAAGAGGGATCAGATTATGTCTTTAAAGAGAAAAAAAGGGATGTTTTTTAAATAACTATTTAAAAAAGAGAAAAGTTACAATCGTCTGTGGTTGAATTTTGTTGTTGTTGTAAATGTATAAATATTTTCAC